GGGCGGCGCCAGGATTTTTTTGCTGCAGTAGCTTAGCAGTTGCTATATGACAGCACGGCGTTGCTAGTTAATTTTCAAAATAAATAAACAAACAATACCAGTGGGCCAAGCACGAGCCTGTTCATATTGTAGCGTTCACCGCTATTCAAGATCACAGATCACCAGTGGCGTTTTTATATGTACTAAAGTGGTGGGGCACAAAAAACTTAGATGTCTATATATAAGCTTCTGCAGTGACGTGCAGTGAGGTTCATGGCTGGTGAGGCACTGGCACTGACTCTTCAGGTTTACAAATATTATATTTTGACCTAAACCAAAATATTATATTCAAAAGCTTTTTTTGTCTGATGCTTCGATTAATTTTAAACAGACAGTTCAACAAAAGGATACCCAAAGAATGTAATTTTATCATTTAAATATTGAATTGTTCTCTCTTAGTAAGATCCCATTTTCAAAAAATTGCGGTCTTACCTTGACTTGAAGATGAAGTCCATTTGCCTATCCTTCTGGACAAACATTTCTATGACTTTTTTGTAAAAGTCCTCCTTATCTTCTTGTAGTTTCAAAAGTCTATCATAAATCTAATCGATAGATTTATGATTCAAAAATTATAAAAGTAGGGTAGACATGTGGATGTTATCCGGCTGAACAAAACGTGCATTTATCTAACAGGTACGTTTCCCACAGATCTTATTTCGAGCTATTTTCTAAAATCCTCTGGAGAAATCTCATTGCTTTTTTGTCGAGGGAAGCCATGCTAAGCTTACTTCCTGGTTTTAGGACGCATCACTGCAGCTCTCTCGTCTCCTCTTCACACACCACACTTTTCGCGGCACACGTACTTACAGCCAATCAGCTCTGAATTATGTGAGATGACGTATGGTGGGGATGGCAGCTCAGTGCCCCTATGGTCATTATTTTTTTGACACACACAAGAGGCTTGTTTGAGACGAGCTGCGGCTCGCCTCGAAAGTAGACGAGAATAGCCGATCGCAGCCGGGGGAGGTCTCAAAAAGCTCGCCTGAAGTCGGACAGCTCGGAGTCGGCTTCTTCCTCTTCTTCTTCTTCTCTCGGTTTTTTGGCCGATTGCAAACAACTTTAAGGTGCATACCGCCACCTCCAGAGTCGGCTTGACTTGGTTTGCATTTATAAAGAATGCACAAATGTGTTTAATCGTTAATGTCAGATATGTACTAAGTAAATACATTTGTTCCTGCTCAAGATTAGATTCAACTTTATTGTTATTGCACAGATTACAGGTACTGAGACAACGAAATGCAGTTTAGCTTCTAACCAAGAGTGCAACAAGCAGTAAAGTGAAAAGTAATGTACACAATCTACAGAATAAAATATAGAATGAATTGAATGATGAATAAACAGTGAGGGGTATGAATACACTAGATATACACAGTAGCCTAGCCTAGTATGAACAGTGTGTTGTATGAATATGCTAAGATATATAAAGTATGACAACGGTAAGCAGTGCAAGTATAGTATACAAATATATAGATATTAATTTAATGATGATAAACATTGTGGAACAATGATGAAAAATGTGAATGGAAGTGGCGACGTAAAACTGACACAAAACAACGACACACTTTTGCCGAGCCAATGGAGAGTTTCATCTCCAGCACGGGGTAAAACCCACCAATGAGCGCTCAGCTTGAGATACCAGTGAGTCGTTTCCCATCAAGCATTTCGCTTCCGCAGCCCGTGGAGAGAAACTGCGCCGCCTCGCCGCGCCTCGCTCTCAAGTCTGCGGGCGTCTTTGTACCGCGAGATTTCAACGTCTCATGTAGGCGAGCCTCCTGAGCAAGTTGGACAAAATGACTAACCATCATGCAACGCACTACTGTAGCAAGACGTTGATCGCAATTGCGCAGGTCTGCGCAGGTCTCGCTTGTCTCAAACAAGCCTATTAAATAGGAAAATACTCTGAGCATGCGCAGTGTAGTTTTTACAGTCACCGTTCACTAATTAGACAGTGAGAGGGAGGGGCATGATCAGGTTTTGTCCCATATGGCTCTAAACAGCTCAATAGGCACACACTGTAGACACTAATTAGAAGAACACAGACTAAAACAGCAATGTACAGACCAATCAGATGATTAACCATGATCTTAAAATATATTTTATATATTTTTTAATTTATTTTTTGCATTTTTTGTAATCATTATTTGTAATACTTTCTGCTGACACTAGGTGGGGCTGTTCCCCACCTGCCCCTAATGACCAGTCGCCACTGCAGATCACGAGCCTTCAATGTCGAAAACGTTCTCTTTATTTTATGGTATTGACGGCCACAGCCACTCCTTACAAAGCCAATCAATAGTATAACACTCATTATGACTTTTCCCCACACTCGAACACAACTCCTACCGTCTCGTACTCCCTACACCAGGGGTGTCAAACTCAATTTCATCGCGGGCCACATCAGCATTATGGTTGCCCTCAAAGGGCCGGTTGTAATTTTAACACTATATAAATATACATATATAAATATCAAAATAATGTTTTATACTGTATAACAATATTGCCTCTGCATTGGAGTATTATTGGTTTTGGCAATAACTACGTCTGAAAGCACATGGTTGTGCATTAATGTATTGTGCACGTAGACACAAAAATACTGTATGTGGGCTCAGACTAACATTTCACTCTCTTACTGTTACATAAATCCCATGAATTTATGAAATTTAGTTAGCCTCATCATATCTTATCAAAAAGAGATACAATGTTTGTGAAATCTATTTTTTGTGAATAATAAAGTATTTTTCTTTTGTATATCAAGCATTATTTAAGTAGGCTATATTTCATTTGAATTCAGCAATAATATTTTAATAGTCTGAAAGCCAAGACTTTGAGAACCCCCTGTCCCAGATCCTGCTGTGTTACTATCACCTGTCACTCACTATTTCAGTAAGCAGTGAGTGGGGGGGGGGGGCGGCGGCGTGTTGAGGAGGAACAGAGTGAGAGGGGACAGGGATCGCGGAAGTTTTCCTCCTTCCTTTACAAACTTTACACAAGTATTTATAAGTATTTATCGTCTGAATATAGCAAAAAGACGTTCATACTCTGCAAGCCAAGACCTCATATATTTTAATCAACCAGAAACCGGAAATAACCGTAACGCGAGTTTTTCTAAAACATAATAAATCCATGTGTGTCTCTGAGCCGCAGCAACACCGACTGATTCTTAAAGAGCGGGTCATTCTGTCTGTTTGTTCTGGGACTGGAGTTGCTTGTCTCGGTTGCTGAAGCAGACTTTGCTCCGTGTTTGGTGTCTCTGTGCCGCTGTAAATTATGTTCCTTCAACTCTGTGTCACTCACAGTCACACACTGGTCACTCACCGCCTCAGAGTGCCGCTGCTGATAGGAAGTCGCTTCAGTGCGCACGTCACAAAACGAAATGCATTTTGGGACATGCTGTTTATGGGCAACGTGCTTAAACGGCATGTAACCGTATAATAAACTGTTTATATTCTTTGCGAGCTCTCGCGGGCCACATAAAATGACGTGGCGGGCCACATTTGGCCCGCGGGCCTTGAGTTTGACACGTCTGCCCTACACACACACCGGAAAACGCACACACACACCTGGAAGGGGCGGTCTCTCCCTAACTCCCACCAACAACATTACCTAAATAACTTTACAAATGTACTAAACTGTGCACATCTGATAACTGAAATAACTATTAACTTGGACACGCTACAATATTATCATTAATATTTACATTAAAACATTCCTTTGACACTTATAACATTACTTTGCAAGGTAAGCACAACCAAAATAAGTTTGTAAAAGCAGAATTCGAACACTGTTTCTGTGCTCCTACAATATTTGTGTATAATACCATTACACCCTAAGCGTACACAATAGCGATCGTTCACTGTTTCAACTGGCATGCTGTGGCATTTAACCTCATCACCACACCGCAAACAGACAGACACACACACACAAACACACACGCACACACACACACACACACACACACACACACACACACACACACACACACACACACACACACACACACACACACACACACACACACACACACACACACACACACACACACACACACACACACAGGGTTGTCCGTTGGAGATCGCGGCCGTTTACGCTGTGAGAAATCTTTCCATTTTCGATCTGTGTTCACATACTGAGAATTATAACAACATTAGCCGAGTAACAGTTCGCGCTTTAACTTACAATGACCCCTGATAGATCTCGCGAGAATGTGTATAAATATATATAGATACATTTTCATAACAAAACAATGGGGTTGCTAAGCCGTTGCTAGGCCAATTGTTGGAGTTGCTATAGCAACACCCAGCTACCCCCTGGCGCCGCCCCTGATTGCGGAGGACCCCCTGTTTTGTGTCCCCCCCACTTCTCAAACCAAAGTTACACCCTTGCACACACACACACACACGCACGCACGCACGCACGCACGCACACATACATACATACACACACACACACACACACACACACACACACATACAAACACATTATATGATGGATACCCGAACAAATGTAAAATGTCATGCCATAGTTGGTCATTAATATATTGTTATCGTCCAATGGATCATTTATTTCTAGCAGTTGTTCTTGAATCACTGTTCTTATAGTTTGCAAATCTCAACGACAGCAGGCACCAACAGAAGAGCTGGTTCAAGTGCGTCCTCTAGTGTTGAAAGATAACCACAACAACAAAAACATCTTCCACTTCGATGACTAATTCCTGTTTACTTTGGGTGCATTTTGACAAGCTGCATATTCACTCTAAAAAATCACGAACTACATCTCTCAGTGAACTCAGACACAGTCCTCATTATGTAGTTTGATTTGTAAGAATGACAGCTATGGAGAAATCCTTTTCAATTTCATACCCATACTTATATATGTGTTTACTGTCAAATAAGCACCTCTTATGTAAATGTAAAACATGACTATTTAAAGCCAGTGGACGAAAGAACAACACCTTGTTTTTGGCTCAGATCGTTTATTCAGTTTTAGACAATTAAACATCCAGTTAAAACTCCATTAAGGTAAATATGACAAAAATAGTGATACACATATTATAACCATCACCACATTTCAACCAAAACGTAAACAAATTCTGAAAAGCAAAACATAATAGATTTGTCTTTTTATATATTTCTTTCTCTTAAACATAAAAGACAACAATTCAAATGAAGATTACAGGTTTCACACTTTAAGAGGATAAATAAACATGTACTCTATGAATAACTACTACAACAAAAACATATCAAGTAATTCAGATGTTCACAGAGGCAAACACATGTTACATTTAGTGTCGCCCCATTTTCTCAATTTCTAATCCTCAGTTAGTAATCTGTTAGTAATTTAGTTTCTCCCCTCTTCAGGTTGTGATTTCTATATTTGAACTAGAGCCATTCAATAAACCCAGAGAGCAGACACATATTAGAGAAGAGTGAGCTTGTTGCAGTAAATATACCAATGGGTTTACTTAGCGCAGATGAAATGAAACTTTTTATGGTCAGCCTTTGTGTACCACTCTCCATCTCTCTCCATGACTCCAGCCATGCCACACTGCTCATCCATGTTGTCTTGGGCCCAGTTGTGATAGCAGACCAGACGATCAATGACCCAGAGCCACAGATCCATTGTGCAGGTGTAGCGCATTCCCAGCCAGACGAACTCAGTGTCGGCCATCTTGGCTCTCTCTTGGACCCATCTCTGCTGGTGACTGTCAGTGATGGAGACCAGGTCATGGTGGTTCTCTCTGCAGTAAGTCAGGGCCTCATCCCAAGTCTTACTCTCATTGATCAGGATCACTTTGTCTGGCAATGAAATTGATTAATTTTTTTATTGGGGTAACTATTTATTGCAGACTCTCAACTGTAATAATATAGAACCTTTCTTACAATAATCCTTGTGTTTTTTAAATAAATAAAAGTCCCCACAAAAAAGAAGTAAATTAGATACAAATGGTAAGGAAATATAAGTCCAGAAATGACGTGGCACCTTATGTAAAAGCCAGGTTAAAAAGATGCGTCTTAAAGGTAGGGTAGGTAAGTTTGAGAAACCGGCTCGAGATCGCTAGAATTTGAAAATACACAACCGGAGAAAATCTGCCACTTCCTCACAGAGCCCCTCCTCCAACACACACGAACGCGCACATGACCAATGAGGGCACGAGATAAGTTTGTGCACAGATGGAAGGCTGACAGGCAGGTAGGCCATCCAGTTATTTTAGCCGGGCCGGCTCAGATGATTGGTCGTGCTTTTTACAGTACTACAGCTTCCACAGATGATGTTTATTTATGGATTTTTTGTCAAAGCACTTCAGATATTAATTGCTATCGGGATGTTAAGAGCATTCCATGGAATATAACAAAAAGTGTACCTCGAGCCGGTTTCTCAAACTTACCTACCCTACCTTTAAGGACAAAAACATGTCTAAATGATATTCAAACTTTAAGTAGTAAGAATATTATATTCACAGTCTATCGTAAGATTAAGGACAGAATCCAGATCATTAATACTGTGTATATTAAACATAATTTCACAACTAAAGGATATTCAACATGAATGTAAAAATATATAACTGAAGACATGAAATAAGAATACTTTACTTATAGACTTTTGCAAAACTCACCGTCATAGCAGTAGAAGGGTTTTTGATCTGTGCAGATGTCGGAGCTCCATTTTCCATTTGACGTAGTCATAGCACAAGTCTTTGAGGCTACATCTTTAAATGAGTCCAGATCCCAGTGTCTGAAAGAGAAATTCTTCCCATCTGACCAGCTCCAGATCTCTCTGAACAGGCCGATCCACAACAACTTATCTGGATTTGAGGAGTCAGGACAGCTTTGCTGATCGTTGAATTCAACTGAATTGATATTTTCAAGTCCACTGACCAGGTCTGTGTGATGTTCTCTGCAGTAGCTCTGAGCCTGAAGCCAGTTCAGTTCAGGTTCATCAATTACAAAGTATTTCTGTTCCCCTGTTTCTGTGTGAACGAAAAGACACATTTTACTTTTGGTATAATAATGTAGATTGAATAATCAAAAAATAGGCCTTAACTTTACCATTACAATGTATTTAAACAAGTAGAATTGTATCAAAGTTACCAATAATGTTATGTTTAAGGTGAAAAGCAAAAATGTTTTTCAATTTAATTTAACTCTACACACGTGTACAACACATGAGTTATCTGTCAACTATTGTTACACACTATGATATGATTTATATAGCGTTAATAATTACATATACTCACCATTGTAGCAGATGAACTTGCGTTTAAGAGAACAATGGACATCGTACCATTTTTTCAAAGGTATATACATCACCACACAGTTCTCAGGATTGACACCTTCATTGCTCGGCTGTTTTCGACCGTCATTTGTAGCCCATTCTGGCGCACATCCTGGTTCACATTCTGTAGGATTGTACTTCTCCCCCGGCAGAGACCAGTGCCACTCTTTGATATCTCTTTCATTGATGCTCCTCAGTCCAATCCAGGCGCCTGTAGTCTGTGAAGAGTTAGTCAGTCTCTCCACGTCTCTCATGTCAGACACTGTGGCCAGGTCAGTGAAATGCTCTCTGCAATAACTCTGGGCTTCCTCCCAGGTCTTTCCCTCTTGAATGAAGTGGTACTCAGAGGTGACATGTGAAGAAGGAACACTGACCTAAAAACAGAGACCATTCTGCAGTGATGGAGCTGACAGTATGACAAGCACCTGATCATTAAATCAAACTCATGAGTACTAAAATCACCCCCACTTCTTACATCGTCCCCTTCATCTTAATGGAGCTCTGAGGACACTTATTTCACGTTTTATTGTTATGAGCTGTTTCATGACTCCAGATGTGATATCAGTTACAAATCTGATAAGATGATCCACTTACCCATCAGAATCAGCACGAACTGAATCCACTGCATCTTTGCTCTGTTAGATGAAAGCCATATTGTTATTGATCATTGATAAATCGTATAAATGATTTCAGTTACATTTAAATTATTTTGAACACCTAATGTTTCAGTTAAATTAACACAAACACAGACTGCACCACTCGCTTCTGTGCAGTAGTTTAATGAAGATGTAAATGTAGAGAAAATGCAAATTTAGAGCAACACCAGCAGTAACATACGGAGCCCCTAAAGCAGGGGTGTCAAACTAACTATCAGCATTATGGTTGGCCTCAAAGGGCCGGTTGTAACTTTAACACTATATAAATATACATATATCAATTAATATTTTATATAACAATATTGCCTCTGCATTGGAGTATTATTGGTTTTGGCAATAACAACGTCTGAAAGCACATCAAGGTTCAAGGTTCAAGGTTCTTTATTGTCAATCTGACATAGCTACAGAGTAATTATGCAGTTGAAAATCTTATGTCACAGGCTTCTCCAACAATGCAACATAATAACATAACATAATAACAATAAGAGCAAGAGCAATACAAAAATAATAATAGTTATAAAAATGAAATAAAGTTATGATGTGGAATAGTGCAGTACGAGTCTATATACAAGTTATTGGAATGATATATATATATTAGGTATTAGATACATACTACTGAGTAGCAGTTGAATGTTTGAAGTTGTTTCAACAGTTCAATTTTTTAACAGTCTCACTGCCCGCGGGAAGAAACTGTCTCCGAATCTTCTTGTCCTTGCCCGGATGCTGCGGTAACGTCTGCCAGACGGCAACAGAAAGAACAGTTTGTGGCTGGGGTGATGGGGGTCTTTGATAATCCGTAGTGATTTCTTCCTGAGCCGCTGGGAGTAAAGGTCCTCCATGGATGGCAGCTCCGTCCTGGTGATGTGCTGTGCAGTTTTCACCACCCTCTGTAAAGCCTTACGATCGAGGTCGGTGCAGCTGCCGTACCAGGCCGTCATGCTGCCAGTGAGGATACTCTCTATGGTGCACCTGTAGAAGTTGCAGAGTATCCTGGAATCCATTTTGAACCTCCTCAACCTGCGGAGGAAGAAGAGCCGCTGTCGAGCTTTCTTGGTGATGGTGGTGGTGTGAAGAGACCATGTCAGGTCCTCAGTGATGTGGACCCCAAGGAACCTGAAGCTTTTGACTCTCTCCACCGTAGTCCCATTGATGGCGATGGGGGCGTGTCCCTCTCCCTGCTGCTTCCTGTAGTCCACAATCAGCTCCTTTGTTTTGCTGATGTTGAGATGGAGGTTGTTCTCCTGGCACCAAGATGTCAGGTTTTCGACCTCCTCTCTGTACGCCGTCTCGTCATCGTCTGTGATCTGGCCGATGACGGTCGTGTCATCAGCAAACTTCACGATGGTGTTGGAGCTGTGTGTGGCCACGCAGTCGTGGGTGAACAGGGAGTAGAGGAGAGGGCTGAGCACGCAGCCTTGAGGGGCACCGGTGTTAAGAATCAGGGTGGAGGATGTGATGTTTCCCACCCGCACTGCCTGGGGTCTGCCCGTCAGGAAGTTCAGGATCCAGTCGCAGAGGGCGCTGTTGAGCCCGAGGTCTCTGAGCTTGATGGCCAGCTTGGAGGGCACAATGGTGTTGAATGCTGAACTGTAGTCAATGAACAGCATTCTCACATATGTGTTCCTGTTCTTCGGGTCCAGGTGTGAGAGGGCAGTGTGGAGGGTGAGGGCTATGGCGTCGTCTGTGGACCTGTTTGCTCTGTAGGCAAACTGCAGGGGGTCCAGAGATTCAGGGAGGGAGGAGGTGATGAATAATTTGACTAACCGCTCAAAGCACTTCATTATGATGGAGGTGAGTGCTACTGGGCGGTAGTCGTTGGGGCAGGTGATGATTGTCTTTTTGGGGACAGGAATGATGGTGGAGTGTTTAAGACATGTGGGGACTACAGACTGCAGCAGGGACCTGTTGAAGATGTCTGTGAACACCTCTGCCAGCTGAACTGCACACACCCTGAGAACACGGCCAGGGATGCCATCAGGTCCAGGAGCCTTGTGTGGGTTAACCCTTTTAAAGGATTTACACACATCTGCCCTATTTAAAACAAAAGGGCAGTGTAGCTCCTGGTCCCTCTGTACCTCCACAGCCTGGCTGCTCTCAAAGCGTGCAAAAAAACTGTTTAGCTCATCTGGGAGAGATGCGCACGCAGACACTCCCGCAGCACCCCCCGCTGCTCCTTTGTAGTCAGTCATTGTCCTTAGTCCCGCCCACATATTCCTAGTGTTACAGCCTTTGAAGTCAGATTCCACCTTCTCTTTGTACTGTCTCTTTGCATTTTTTATTGCTCTCCGGAGATCATACCTAGACTTCCTGTACTCCTCCAAATCTCCCGCTGTGTGCGCGAGAGTGCGCGCTTTCAGTTTGCCGCGCACCTCACCGTTTACCCAGGGCTTTTGATTTGGGAATGTCCGTACAGAAACCTTCGGTACCACGTCATCGATGCATTTCCCAATGTAGCAGATGACAGCGTCCGTGTGTGTGTTGATGTTATTGTCCTCAAACACACTCCACATGGTTGTGCATCGATATATTGTGCACGTAGACACAAAAATACGGTGGGCTCAGACTAACATTTCACTCTCTTACTGTTACATAAATCCCATGAATTTATGAAATGTAGTTAGCCTCATCATATCTCATCAAACAGAGATACAATTTTAGTGTAATATAATTTGTTGTGAATAATAAAGTTTTGTTTTTTAATATCAAGCATTATTTAAGAAGGCTATATTTTTATTTGAATTCAGCAATAATATTTTAATAGTCTGAAAGCCAAGACTTTGAGAACCCCCTGTCCCAGGAGGAACAGAGTGAGAGGGGGGGTTGGGATCGCGGAAGTTTTCCTCCTTCCTTTACAAACTTTACACAAGTATATAAGTATTTATCGTCTGAATATAGCAAAAAGCCGTTCACTGGAGTTGCTTGTCTCGGTTGCTGAAGCAGACTTTGCTCCGTGTTTGGTGTCTCTGTGCCGCTGCAACTTCTGTTCCTTCAGCTCTGTGTCACTCACACACTGGTCACTGCCTCAGAGTGCCGCTGCTGATAGGAAGTCGCTTCAGTGCGCATGTCACAAAACGAGATGCATTTTGGGACATGTAGTTTATGGGCCGTATAATAACCGTATAATAAACTGTTTATTCTTTGCGAGCTCTCGCGGGCCTAATCAAATGAGGCCGCGGGGGCCTTGAGTTTGACACCCCTGCCCTAAAGGGACAACAACAAAAAGTCGGGATAACGAGACACTAACCCGTTATCCTGAAATGTTTCTCTCTTTTTTTTTCCTTTTCATGTCATTTTCATTTTGCACATGAAAAAGTCTAATATATCATATTCCAATCACTTGTATATAGACTGTTATTGCACTATTTCATACATTTACTATTTTTCTTTTTGTATTTACTTGCACAATTGTTTTCAGTTTTTCAGTTTTATTGTGTTGCACTGTTGGAGGAGCCTGTGACCTAAGATTTTCATCGTCATAACTACACTGTAGCTATGTACGTATGACAAATAAAAGCCTTGAACCTTGAACTATTTGAATGAAACATGCAAACACCAGATAGAAACTAAACAATAACAGTATAGTGCCGTACAACAACACTGACTTTTTATGTTTTTTTTGTCAAGGCCATTATATTTTTGTGGTTCTATATTTTTTTGTTTATTTATTCACATGTAGCCTACTCCTACTATCAGAAACATACACTATGTTTTAGGTGTGGGTGAGGCTTTATGGGTTCTTTAACCCGAACAGAGAAGTAAACTGAAATAAAAGCTTAATTAAATTGTGTATCGTTGCTTTTATAAGCCCGATTTCAAGATGTGTGATCATTACTTTATTATGGGTAAACTAACTATAATGAAAATTATATTTTGTTTATTTGAACTGAGAGTGAGATTGCTGTGTATACACATCGTCTCCAATAACACATTTAAGATTTACCACCGTGTTTTAAAGCAGGAAAATAGTGGGTTTTACAGCCCTGAGTAATGTCTACGGGACAGGCTGCATACATCGCCCACAAAGCTCTAAAAACCTAACATGAACCTGAAAGGTAAAACTCAGGGCAAAAAATGTCCACTAGACTCAGACTAAATGTTTTGTTTTCATTATAAATGTCCAGCGTTCTTGGTAAAGTGCCAACTTTTGTAAAATTATTTTTTTGTTTGTTTATGATTCAAAATGAAACATTGAGATTGTAATACAAATACATAAAATATTCCAGTTGATTTCAAGAGAAACAAATGATTTAAGGGAATAAATGAACATAATAGGGTTTTAGATTTCATTGCTTCTGATTGAGATGGTAAGGGGGACGAGCTAGCGCTGTGATCTAGAATGCAAAGCTCGCTTGTTTCCAATCCCGAGAGTTGTCCATCCTCGCCTGAAACAGACGATTAGTGCCATGAGTTAGTGAAGCAAATTACAGAAACACTGCACAGTTATTCACAAGTCAAAACGTTTTCATAGCGGCCGAGAATATCTAGCTAGCTAGATGTAGCTAGCTCGGAGCCTAGCATGGCTAGCTTGATCTACTGAGCAAATAAAAGTACATCTGAGACCATTATTGTGCAGATTAAAACCCCAGTGCATGTAGTTG